ATTTGTACCCCCATAATATGATAAAAGGAAAAAAAAAGGAAACTGACTTTAACCACTTCCTGCATGTGCCATACCCATTGAAGATTGAGACACAACCTCAGTGGTATAGCGCTCAGAGGAGATCTAGGGCAGTGAAACTATTCTGTACGATATCACAATGGTGGCTATGTGTCATTCGACATTTGTCAAAACCCACAGACTGTATGTACAACACCAAGAGTAAACCCTAATGTAAACTGTGGACTTTGGGTGATTATGATGTGTCCATATAGGCTCATTGATGGTAATAAATGTATCCCTGTGGTGCAGAATATCAGTAATGGGAGAGGGCATGCCTGTGTGGGGGTGGGGGTATATGAGAATCTTCTGTACTTTCTGTTCAATTTTGCTGTGAACCTAAAGAGGCAGGAGGATTGCTTGAGCCCAGGAGTTTGAGGTTGCTGTGAGCTAGACTGATGTCATGGCACTCACTCTAGCCTGGGCAACAAAGCGAGACTCTGTCTCAAAAAAAAAAAGAAAGAAAGAAATCTTACAGAAGTAAATAGACCATATCTATTTAAACTCCAAAATAGCACCATTTAGAGGCAAATACCAAAAGAAATATCAAAGTGGCAGCCCCTGGGAGCAGAAGGGCATGGAGGCAGGCAGGAGACAGCTGATGTTATATGAAGCCCTGTAGAAGTATTTAACTTTCAATACTATGTGCATGTACAATTTTTATTTTTAAAAATTCTGATTACAATTATCTGGAAAGTAATGGGCAGGCAATGTGTGTGCCTCCTATTATGAAGTGCTTTTTTTCCCATGTAAGCTGAGTCTGTGATAGACTCTGTTTTATAGACTCATACTCGTGGCAGTCCCATTAGATGTGAAACACCACACGCTCTGCAGTGTAATACACATGCTCCACATAATCACAATCCCATCCTGACCTTTCCCAGGTGTATACTGAATGTGGAGGGGTTTAGGTCTAGCATTTGTTCTCTCCAAAATAACTAATGAAAACTTCAGTGCTTGCCTCTGAAAATTACAGGTCTGGATGGAAAAAGAAAAAAAAAACTCTACAGGATAAGCAAACAATGTCTGTCTGCCTCTTGACAGTTGCAGAAAAGCAGGTGTTTCTTTCCCAGTGTTATTTCCAGAAAGAAGAATTGCATAAAACAACTGGACTTCTGAGATTGTTGCTGAAGTAATGAAATTTCTAATCAGTACGTTATCCTGATGGTTTGTTTAACTCCCGGATGTGCTGTTCTGATAACATTAAAATGGGCTCCTTTTTCCTGGAAGGGATATACACTTAAGAGTTTGCTTTGTTAAGCCAAAAGAGAGAGGAAGAACTTTTCCGTTCCCCTGCAGGCATAGAGGTGATAAAAATCTATGCTTCTGCTCAATTTCTTAAGAGTTTGGGAGTTTGTGGTTCATTGAAATTAACATTTCTTACCCAGGAACCTCTGGTCTGGCAGCAGGAATTTCACTCCATTCCCCAGAAATTATGGGGAATCAGTCCCTTGTCCCAGCCAACACACAGGGTTAACTTCCCCTCCCCCCTCCACCAAGCAGCCATCGCCTCTATTACTATTGCTTTTTAACATTAAGATTTTCTTTGCAAGGCTCCTGCGTTGTACAGAAGGTAAAAATCATGTTCCAACCTCATGGTAACTGGTGGCTTTGAATGGTTATGACTCACCTGACAATCACAGCTGTCCACATGACAGCAAGCGTCTTGCATGAAAACCTGATAACACTTACTGTTTTATTGGGGTGAAGTCCCCAAGCTTGGTGGTGGATTTCTAAGGGGAAACAAATGGAAGAAGGCAGAATGTCGCACCAACTATGCTGTTTTGGTGGGGAGAGGGTATCCTGGGGTTTGTATAACAGATACTTCAGCTACCTACCAATGCCATGTAAACAATCCAACCAATCCTGAACAGTTCTAGCACTTTCTCTTCCCAGACCTTGCCCTCACTTCTCCCTCCCTCCCACTTTACCCCCAACTCCCTGTGGACAGTATGCCAGGAACATCCTCAGCCCACCTTCCAGCACCCCCTGCCTCCGGCTCTGCCCTAGAGGATTCCTTCTGGTTCCTGCGTCCACAAGAAATAGATGGGAGAAGAAAACTCTTTTCACACAGGCCCCAGCCGAAGGGGATTGGTACCCCACAAGAGTCTAGTTTGTCTTTGCCGGGGGATGGGGGATAGCTGGGCTCCATGGGCTAGCCTGGGGCCTGCCCACCCCATCCCATGTTGCCCTACAAAGTCGTCCAAGGATCACAGGTGATCATGGGGAACACGACCCCTAGTAAATAATCTCAGGAACCTATTTGTACCCAAGACCCCAAACTCACCTATCTTGCCTGGATCCCAGAAACTCAGCCCATAGCCTGTCTGCTTCCTTTGAAATCTTTGACGTTTATGAACCATGAGGAACTCTATTACCTTGGTATTCACACATGCTGGGTTTTGAATTTCAGTACTAAGAGGTGTCAACGGAAAAAAGCCAAGTCTGCAAAATAATTTTAAAGAGATTTATTCTGAGCCAAATTTGAGGACCATGACCCGGAGCCACTGCCAAGAGGCCTTGGGGCAAGTGGACTCACTGTGGCTGGGTTACAGTTTGGTTTTTATACAGTTTAGAGACAAGGGTTATGGGCAAAGCCATCAATCAATGTGTGGGAGGCATACATTGGTTTGGCCAAAAAAGGAGGGCTATCTCGAAGGGGGGGGGGGCTTACAGGTTATAGGTGGGTTTAAAGATTCTTTAGATTGTAATTGGCTAAAAATATGAAGCTTTGTCTAAAGACTTGGAATGTTTTAACATAAACTGTTTACCAGAAATAAGCCACCATTTTGTTGCAAATTGAGGGCCTGCAGGTTTGTCTTGCATACCCTTAGGCCTGTTAATGGGTTACAAAGGATGTCTCCAAGAAGGGAGGGGGGCATGAAAAGGCCTGTTTGACCTCCCTCCTCCTGGCAGGCAACTTTGCCCTTGAATATTCCTCTGGCCACGAGGGGGTCCATTCAGTCAGCCGGTAGGGGTTGAGCATTTTAGTTCACAGAGGGAAACAACCCACAGACCTCAGAACCACATAGAAAAGGGAAGTGACACATATGTCCTCCTTTATGTGGCACTCGGTATTTTATTGTATTGGGAGCATTTTCCTTACCTCTCTCACCCTTAATGATAATAGAATCCTGCGGGAGAGTACAGACGTGAATTCTCCATGCCTCTGTAGCACAGCGGGGGCGCCTGCCGCTCCTGCTCTGCGCCCCTGCATGCTCCCAAAAGCCAGAGGAAGAGGGACGTCGGGGACTCTGGTGGCCTGCACCCGGGTGTCCCTGGACCTGGGCATCCAAAGGGCCCCTTTCTCACCCCACCAGGCTGCCACAGCCTTGCCTCCATCTCTCTGAAGTCCGCCTCCTTCTTTCTGTGTCCGCTGTGCTCCCAGGTGCCCTCAAGTGGTGACATCCGGCCTAGCCCCGACACGCTGTCTGTCTGGAGAGGTCCCTGCCGGGTCTGGAGCTAAAAAGCGGCTACACCGGGGCAGGAGACGAGCGCGCAGGGCAGCACCCACGCCCAAGGGGCGCAACCCGTCCTCGTGCGCCTAACGGTGACCAGGAGTGGACCAGGCCCCGAGGGGCGGGGAGCGCGCGGGTTTAGGATCTGGGAGAACCTGCCTAGCGGCTCGCGCGTCCACCCCGCCGCGTCTGCACCGCGCGCTCCAACCTCCCGGCTGAGTCCGCTCCCAGTGTCTGGCTGGGGACGCCAGCCGGCCAGGGTGCCACGGACGTGAGGGCACCGAGCAATTGGGACGGGAGGACAACAGTCGCGGCTGTCGCTGTGGGCCCGGGTGGGGGGAAGGAGATGGGAAATCCAGCCTCCTCCGCTCCTGCAAACCCGCGCGCGCACACACCCTACTAAGAACGTGGTTTCCCGCTCTTTATCTCTTACTGCCGAGACGTTTAAAGCATGAGTCTAAGGCAAAGATTCTTAGCCTCGCCAGGGCTCTGCGACTCAGCAGCCGGCGGTGACCGGTGCTGGTGTTGGAGTTCAGGGAAAATGAAATCGAGCAAATATTTTCTGGGCGCTCGCGACGTGCCGGGCTCGGCGCGGTGACACCCGGCAGGCCCTAGACGGCCCCGGGCGCGCCGAGCGGGCTGCGCGGGGAGCGGACGCCGACCCGCCCGCCCCGGGAGTGAGTAGCGCGGTGGGAAATCCGGGTGGTTTATCCAACTGCTGCTCTCGCTGGGCGCCCTCGGCCACTCCGCCTTGGAATAGTCGTTTCTCCATTTCACCGCTGCCAGCTCTCGTGCCCAGTGCCCAGAACTCGTAAGTTACCTAACACCCGGAGGGAGAGGCCACATTCCTTAGGGAATTTAGAAGCGTGAACTGCGCCACTCACTAGTCCTCTATTCGCCTAAATGACCTGCCCGTACAGATTCACAAATAAATCTTCTAGTCCTGGTATCACGTTGTAACTCTATCTACCCCCAAAGAACAGGGACTATCAAAAGGATTAAAGGAAGGGGACTAGTTTATATTGAACCAGGTGCTTTAGATCATTATTTTATGTAATCCTCACAACTCAATAGAATGCTGTTATTAACTTTTTATTTTATTTTATTTTGAGACAGTCTCACTTTATTGCCCAGGCTAGAGTGAGTGCGGTGGCCTCAGCCTAGCTCACAGCAACCTCAGACTCCCGAGCTCAAGCAATCCTGCTGCCTCAGCCTCCCAAGTAGCTGGGACTACAGGCATGTGCCACCATGCCTGGCTAATTTTTTCTATATATATTAGTTGGCCAATTAATTTCTTTCTATTTATAGTAGAGGTGGGGTCTCGCTCTTGCTCAGGCTGGTTTCGAACTCCTGACCTCAAGCAATCCTCCTGCCTCAGCCTCCCAGAGTGCTAGGATTACAGGCGTGAGCCACCACGCCTGGCCTGGTGAAAACATTTGAACCTCAGGGTCTAACAATGTCAATGTCAGGCCTATCCCTGGATAGTCAAGATATATGAACCAATGGATTATTTATTTTTTGTTTAAAGCACTTTGTGTTGGTCTCATTTATAATCATCATGTCTGTCTTGCTCAGAAGACTTTCCCAAGAAAATTGCAAAGGTCATGTTACAGTGTTGAACACACACTGCATTTCCATCACAGTTGAGTGATGGGAGTGGGCATGGGACCAGGACAGAGCACCGCAGGTGAAACATGCAGTTCTGAACAGCCTAATTCAAACAGCATGGGAGAGAAGGTTTGAAAGCCAGCACAGATCAGCACTCAAATCCAACCACATTAACCTTTGTAGTTGAATACCTGTTAGTTCCTATTTTACCATACAATCCATTTTCCAAAATATAAAGAACTTCAGTCCATTGTCCTGGCCTTCGGAATGGATACAGAAATAATTATCCAACCTGTCTAATCTTGAATTAAAATTACTCTAGAAATTTCTGGAACATGACAAATGTAAGGAGAAAGGGAGCAAGAGAGCCAGTGAAACATCCAAACTTTGCCAGGACAAAGGGGAAGATTCAGGGAACAATCAAGTCTTTCCTTATATTGAGACTTCATTGTCACTGTCATTGATCCCTAGATGACCTGATACTCTGGGAGTAGCCGGTCCAGGACCCTGCACAGTACAGAACCAGTCTCAGCAGCCCTGTGGGCCCCTGTCTAAGACACTGGTTTAATGAAGCCATAATCCATGCACTTGACGAGACATTCCCGGGCCATCCGAACCACGTCTGCCTTCTTCTCATCTGGCTCCTGTTTGCCCACCACAGTCAGGATCTCCAGGAGCTCACTCTCCACCAGCTTCTTGGCCAGCTCAGCATCGGCCGCCAGCAGGTTGTAGGCGATGACCAGGCCCCGGTGTTGGACTGACAGCCGGTCGTGCAGGCAAAGCCGCTGTAGGATCTCCAACCACTGGGATGTCTGGAGAGGGAGAAAAGGGTGAGGAATGTGCTAGGTTGGAGTGTGTCTCCCACAATTCATGTGTTGGAAATTTAGTCCCTGGCATGGTGATGTTGGGGGGTGGGGCCTTTAAGAGGTGACTAGGTTGTTAGAGGAACTGATGCTGCTCTAATGCAGGGTTACTTCTTGTAGCAATGAGTGAGTTCTTGCTCTTGAGGGACTGGATTAGTTACCACAAGAGCCCTTCATGGCACCACATGCCACTCTTTGTGTTTCAGCCTTTTCATATGTACCCTCGTCCCCTTCCATTTCTCTACCATGTTATGACACAGCACGAGGCCCTCACCAGAAGCTGACCAGACACAGCTGCCCAATCTTGGACTTCCCAGCCTCCAGAACCATGAGCTAAAATCTCTTTTCTTTATAAATTACCCATTCAGATATTCTGTTATAGCAACAGAAACAGACTAAGACAGAAGGATTAATCAGTGGGGAGATAGAAGAGATTTGGAGATAAGATAAACAGAAACCATTGGTCAGGCCCATAGCTAAGTAACTTAGCTATGGTCACACATCCAGAAATAGTAGATGGAGTTAACATGCATTTATTTTTTAAGCAGCTTGAGAACCAAAGGGACAGGCCCACTGCATGCCTGAGCAATGGGGATGCAGAGTGTTCAAAAGGAAGATGCTCACCCTGAGCACCTGGGCAACCCAGCCTCTGTCAACCCTCATGCCCTTTGAAACATGAATGCCAGGCATGCAGACATGCTCTCTACCAGGCCTGACTTAAACTGGAATCAATGCAAGAGTCTGGAGTACATCCCCTCCCCCATTCCCAGTTGTAAAGCAAAGCAACTACTGTGCATGGAGAGGCAGGACAGTAGACTGCTCCATCACCCCAGGAGACAGAGATGAAGCTGAGAGTAGAACCAGGAGGCTTAAATTCTGTATCACTCAACAGACACACATGGGGCAGCAGAGTAGAATAGTCATCTGCATGGAGTTGGAGTCAGAGAGACCAGTGTTCAGGTCTCAGCTTAGCCACTCACCAACTGCATGACCTCAGCCAAGTTATTTAACCTCTCTGAGCTCAGGAGCCTCATCTGTCATCTGCTGTGTCTACCACTAACACTGTGATGATTTATTTAACGGGATGATACATGGAAAGAGCTTAGCATGGGGGCTGGAGCACAGAAGAGCTCAATAGGTGGAAGTGGACAGGGATGATAATTTAAAGCATCATCCCCAAGATTCTCCCCTTTGGGCTTCTTATGCCTGTCACCCTCACCTGGCATTTGTCAGCATGGATCATGTTCTACATGCACTGCTGTCAGATGGGACACAGACACAGAGGGGAAGAAAAGGCAAATTCTTCGCTTCTGAGTGTCAAAGCAGACTTTTGTAAACTCTGCACTGAGTTTCCTTCCCCAAGGACAGGAAATCAAGTTCAGCTCGCTGTGGTAGGGCCCAGGGAAAGTTTCTGTGCTGATGAGTCCAGGGCCCGTCACTCCCTGGGATGAGTCATTGGAGGCTCAAGGGAAGGGGCGATAGAAACCCAACAGGGCGGGACCCCAGGGCAGGAGGAACTGCTGCCTGGCTTTCCAGGGCATATCCCAGCTGATGCAAGACTGCTGTGTTCAGCATCCCACATGGCCACAGGGTCACACAACAGATGGATCTGGACAGCTTCACAGACTCCCCAGGATGCCCATGTCAGGACAAAAATGCAGCCAAGATTTCTGAGCCCCTCAGGAGGAACAAAGAAGCGGCCGAGAGTGGATCAGCAATCCCGAAGGATTCGAATCTGTTCCCACTAACTGGTTGTGTGGCCTCGGGCTAGTTACTTTTCTGCACCCCAGTTTCCTCATCTGTAAAGTAGGGATAATAATAATAATATCCACCTCACAGGGTGGTTGAGAGGATTAAGTGACTTAATATATGCAAACATTTAGGGCAGTGCTGGCCTTCAGTTAAGTGCAAGGAGTCACAGAACATCCTGCAAGGACATCCTGCCAACAGTTACATGACCAGAGTTAACCCCAGTAGAGGCGACTCTAGGGCATCGGTTTCATAGGGTGGTCTCCAAGCCAGAAGCATCCCACCCCCAAGCTACTGAATCAGAATATCTGGGGAAACTATTTTAACATGCTGATTCTTATGCAGGTTACAGTTGTGAGAAGCTTGCCTTAGGGAAGGAGGCTGAAACCCAAAGACCATGCAGGATGAGCGCTATCCGGCAGAGACACCCTCCCCTGGTGCCAGGACAACAGAAGGCCCCTTGGAACTTAGAGCACACACCCTCCCGTACACACACCTTATATTGACTAAGAGAGAGTGGCTTTAAACCCGATGCGAGCACCTTTGAATTGAGATGTCTACATCTTTCACCATCAGAGGAGATGATGAACTGTGAATTTCAGTTTGGTGAAATAAGGGCAGTTTCCTTTTGCACCTGCATGTTTGTGACTGTGTAAATATCATTCCCATTACACCTGCAGTGATGGTCCCTGTCCCACCACAGGAGCTGGTCATCGTGGCCACAGAGGAGAATCTGCAGGCTCTTTTCCAAACCGTGAGCTCCATATGGTAGCCCACCCACTTTCACTTTTCTCTTGAGAAGCTCAGGAGCTCCGCAGTGGTGGCTGCTTGTTATTATTATTGTTATTATTATTAAGTAATAAGATACAGGCACTCCAAAGACAGTGGGTGGAATCACAGTGGGAGGGATTTGAGCTGGCACACTTGGGAAGTCCAGATAATGAAGGTAAGTGCTGAAGGATATAGACCCTCCTCAGTTTAGTGGGGGGCTGGGAGGGGTTACTGCCGGGGTCTGGCCTCCCCAGAGGATTATCCAGGACAGTGTGGTCTGGGGGTGGGGAGATTCCCTAGAGCCCACCCAGCCCCTTCCTGTCCCCAGGGCCTGCCCGCTCGCACCACTTGGGTCATCTTGAGGCACAGTTTCTTGTGCGCGGCTGTCAGCATGGCCAGGGCCCCTGCAGCTGCGTTCTGCAACTTGTCGTCATCCTCCCCGCACAGCAGCACCACCAGCTTCAGCCGGTCATTCCCGTCGGCCAGGAACCGCTCCTGCACCTGTGGGAGACAGGTGCGTGGCTCAGGGAAAAATGCCCACCACCTGCGCAGCCTGAAGAGGGAAAGATGCATCCTAAGTTCGCTGACCCAGGATCACGTGGTGTTTTCCTCTGGGTAGCTTGCTCATGCCACCTCCCCCTGGAAGCCTTCCCTGATTGGTTGGATGAATTCCTCCAGCTAAAGGGTCAAGGAAATAAGAGATTCCCCATCTGGGGTGGGCCACCACGTCTGTTTGCATTCAGCTCTCCACACCAGGGGAAAGAGGCAGGCACAGACTCCCGGACAGTAGATGATGCCTGAAAAGCCGTGTTTCCTTCCTTTTGGGGAAGCTTGGAAGGTTTTTCCCACAATGCCTGGGCCTCCGGGGTCTGCTAAATGACTCTGCAGAGACTTGGGCAGGAGCCAGAGACAGTGAGGTTGCTTGATATTAGAGAGCTGCTGTACGGTCTCCAACAGGCAAGAGATGAGTCGTCCCAAGGGCCTACAAACCGGAAGAGCCTCCTGGGGCCCAGGGCCCTGCGTTGTCCCAGAGAGGTATAACACCTGGCAGCACGTCACTCCCACCCCCTGCACTGCTGTAAAATCTGGTTGGTCAAGTCTAAGGGCATTTTACTGGGTCAGATTTTCCTGGTAGTGGAGCTCCAAAAGGGGACAAAGGCCACAGCTGCGCAGGTGTGACCCTCCACCTGCATCTCCCTGAAGCTGGAGCCGTGGTTACCAGAGGTGAGAGCACGGCAGTGGGGTCAGCACAGTCCCCTCTCGTGGGCACAGTTGCTGGGAAGCAGCCGCCCTGCTGAGGACTCTATCTGCCCCTCTCACACCTGGAGGTGCCGGTACCTGGTTCTCATTGATAGGACCTGAGCGGAAGTGACGTGTGTCACTTTCCGGCCACCATGGGTGGGTGCTACTGGTGCCTCTGGTCCCATGGTCTCTCTCCCCACGCACCATCAGAATGGAAATGGGCCACAGAGGGGGAGACGGTTTTTGGTGATCAAAGGCATCTGGGTTCCCAAGCCACTGCTTGGAAGTGAGCCCCCTGACCCTAATAGGACTACAGCACAGGGAGCAAGAAATGATCCTCCATCCCGCTGTGCATTTTGATTTGGGTTGTTGCACCAGCTAGCGCCCCCCAGGGAAGGCTGCCTTCCTCCCTCCCATTGTCTGCCTCTACCCCGCAGCCCTCCCCACCTCTGCCCTCCTGGGACACACCCTCTTTCTTCCATAGGCTGCCAGTCCCCCCCACCAGCCCCCTGGGGAACTCTGGTGGCTTTATATCCCCTGACTGAAACAGGCTTTGGTGGATCCTCCCATAACAGTGAGATCCAGGATTTAAGTATTGGCCGGGCGCGGTGGCTCACGCCTATAATCCTAGCACTCTGGGAGGCCGAGGCAGGAGGATCGCTCCAGCTTAGGAGTTCGAGACCAGCCTAAGCAACAGTGAGACCCCCATCTCCACTAAAAATAAAAAAAAATAAAAAATTAGCTGAGGGGTGGTGGAGCACATCTGTAGTCCCAGCTACTCGGGAGGCTGAGGCAGGAGGATCACTTGAGCCCAGGAGTTTGGGGTTGCTGTGAGCTATGATGATGCCACGGTACTCCAGTCCGGGCAACCGAGTGAGACTCTGTCTCAAAAAAACAAAGGTTGTGAGGGATGGTCTGGCTGGAAAATTCAGACTTGTGGGGGAGGGGGGAAAGGGCTTTTTGAAACCTTAAAAATCTGTACCCCATAATATGCAAAAAAAAAATAAAAAAAAACAAAAAGGTTAAATAAATAAATAAAAGACTTAGATATTGAGGGTAAACAGACTGGGTCTCACACCAGCCCCCATGTTAGGGCCCAGGAGGGCCACTGGGCCTGGCCCTCCTGTTGACTTGGACCCTGTGGTTATCCTTGAGACTCTACCTACAGGCACAGAGATACTCCAACAGGACGGGAAAAAGAAGACATTCACCAGACAATTACAATCTGTCCCATTACCAGACCACGAGGCCTATGGCATGTTCTGAATTCATTTTCTTTTTATAAATCCTATATTCTGTGAAGAGCACAGTTATACTGCATTGCAATTTCTATGGAAACAGTGATAGTTCATGACATGCTCGCATTGAAAATATTCTAAAAGGGTCTGTAACTGTATTTGGCATTTCTTCATTTCTGTATATATTTGGAGTTTCAATAAATGAAAGTGGTCTCGACTTCTCTTGACCTCTCAGAGGCCCTTGTCTCTCAACCTGATTCATTATTAGGTTAATTAGGCCCAAGGAACTTGGGGAAACGGTACCTTCTGCCTCATCTAGCCCAAGCTTTGGAGTCAAAGCCCCAGCTTGGGATAATACTACTTTGTGTTTTTTTTCCTTCACGCATATATTTTTCTCAGGGCTCCTATAAGGAAGGGGGCCTGTAATCTAGGAAAGATTTAGGGGGCCCTGGGTTCTTTGGCCACAGTAACAGCCCCTGATCTCACCTCCTTGTTGACCACCATGTTGCACATGCACTCCGTGGCCGCCTGCCGCAGCTGGTCATGATTCTCGAACATGTAGTTCTCGATGTCTGGCAAGGCCCTCTCCTTAAAGATCTTCTGCCTAGGGCGGGAGGGTGGCGGAAGAGAGGCCCTTGAGTCCTCTGCAGTGAGCATGGGGTTTTCTGTCCACCCCGAGGCCATCCCTCCATGGCGGTGGTGTCCCTCCCACAGCCCCCGCCAGCATGGCTGTGTGGCATCGAGCCTGCCGCCAGCTCTGGAGGGAGAACCCATGGGGCGTAAACCCAGGGACATAGCACAGCGTCCAGGCCACAGCAGTGGGCTCTGTGATGAACACGCCACCCAACTGAAGAGCCTCTGTCATTGCTGGCAAAGAGAAACCTTCTCTTTCCTGTTGGACATGAAGCCAAGAAGATGTGAAGTCCAGGGCTGTCCTTGTGCCCACAAGAGAGCAGACAAGCCCATCTGAGGATTAAAACAACAATGGAAAGGAGAGGAGAGGCAGAGAGAGCGAGGACTCAGGGCAGCTTTGTAACCCCTGCATCAAGCTGCACCTGAATCTGGCTGCCCCGGATTCTTGGTTTACATAAATCGATAGATTTCCCTTATGCTTAAGCCAGTTCGAGTTGAGTTTTCTGCTACTTGCAACCAAAAGAATCCCAACCCAAGACATTCCACCGAACTCCTGCTTCCAAGAAGGATTGCACTATCCCCGCCCATCCCCCTGGATATTTTCATGCTACGTTAGAAAGAAGTGTCCTTGCGGTGTCCTTTGACATCTGACATCCACGTGTGCTCTTTCTGAGAGCTGACTCAAATCCTTCCCATCGCCTTTGATGCCATGCTCTGAGGAGAGGCATCAAAGCACGGTTGCGTGTGACACTTCAAACAAACGCTTCATGGGCGCCTCTCTCCACCCCCGCTCCCTCCAGCCCGCCCCACTCACCGGAGTTTGTCACTCCGCCCAGACAGGTTGGTGAGGCCCAGGAGGGCCTCGTAGTTCTGGATGCCGTCCCTCTGCGTGTCCAGGAGCTTCACGAGGGGCCGCACCACCTCGTACACCTGTGGGGGAGGGGCCGAGGGGCGAGTCAGATAGGGACCGAGTCCCCCAGCACCTTACATTTATAGGCGCCCAGCCTTAAACCTCCCAAAGTGCTTTTCCATACATCATCTGATTTAATCTCTCCCACAATCCTGGGAGGCAGGATGACCTCCTTTACTCTGCAGGTGAGATAACTGGGTTTGGGGAGGACGACCCTATTTGTCGGAGGCAGAACCAGGCCTGGGGTCCAGGTGCCACCAAGGTATTGCCCTCCTTGTGACAGCATCATGCCCCACTCCCAGACTGGGGCTGGTGACAAGGAGAAAGCCCTCTAGGAGCAGAGGCTGCCCCATCCCACCCATCCAGGCACCCACCCGCTCCCCGGGGAAGGCGATGTCCGGATTGGAGACAGCAGCGATCTTGGCGAGGGCGTGGGCTGCCTTCACCTTGCCCACGTCTGTGCCCTCCAAGGCCAGGGGGATCAGGGCCTGCAGGAAAGGGCAAGGTCACGGCTCAGTCGTGGAAAATCAGATACTTAATCACGATTCCCTCCCCCTGCTTCCCACATGCTTCCCACCGCACATCAAGGTCTTTACCCCACTGCCGCCCACCCATCCAAGTGCTCCTTCAGCTTTTGGAAAAATAAGTAATGCAACAAATTGGATTTTTTTACTTTCTGCCCGAGCCAAACCCCATCATAACAGCAGCCATTTACTGACCCCTACTGGGAGCCCATAATTTCCGTGTATTTTCTCTAATCCGTGTGACATTCTGCAAGGGGAGTGTGTGATTTCCCCCCTGTTTTCCAGATAAAGAAATTGTGGATCAGAGAGATGAAATAATTTGTCCACGGTTACACAGCCAAAAAAGAGCAAGAGCAAGGTCTTGGCTGCAAGTCTTCCACATCTACCTGTGTTCCATGCTTCCTTCCAACAGCAAGGGGGATAAATAGGATCCCAGAGTACACGACACAGCATCAAGTCAAGCAGAAATTGGTTTGGGGCTATGAGCACAGGCAGCACAGACAGACAACTGAGTGGCCAAATTCCAGGAGACCGGGATGGGGCAACAGGTGCATTATTCTTGGGCCAGGTGCTTGCATGCGCATGCACACACACACACACACACACACACACACACACACACACAGTGTGCTTCTCCCCCCAGGACACCTTCTAAGAAGGCAAGAACCTTGTCCTGCCAGATTACCTTGCCACCACCTTGAGCCACAATGGTGCCTCGGTCCTTTGGATTGTCACACAGTGCCAGGAAGACCCTGTAGGACCCCCGAGGAAAGAGAACATTCACTGCACCAGCACAGCCTTCCAGGACTCAGCAGGCCAGTGAAACCCTGCACAGTGCAACTTGTGCTCCCAGAATTAGCCACTCTGGGAGATACTACCATGGATGTAAGTGGCTGGGAAGGAAGTGAGACCTAGTGGGGTTGCAAAGAGCCCCCAACACTGTTTAGGGAAACAACCACCCTAGAGAAACTCTTTAACATGGAGACGCCCAGGACCTCAACGATCTGGCCCTGGTCCCATCTAGCACCACCCCCTCCCGTGCGCTCGCTGCTCCAGACATACTGTCAGAGAACCCCAAATTCACTCACTCTCCCTCCATCCTCAGTGTCTTTGCAGATGCTGTTCCCTCTGCCTGGACCCTTCCCTCCCTTGCATTTGGGTGGATCCTTTTCTTCCTTCAGGGCTCTATTGATTGTCACATCCTCCCAGAGGCCTTCCTGGCTGCCCACCCACCTCCCTGCAGTCTGTGCTCCAACCAGCCCTCTGGACTTTCACCACCGTGGCTCCCACTGCATTGCACTGTAACCGTGACCTTGCCTGGCACCCCCAATAGGCTGCACAGAGACTGTGCCCTTAATCTCTGGGAACAATGTAACCAGAATGGACAGGGGGCTCCTTCCTCCTGATGCAAGCTTCCACCTGTGATGACCCGCCTACCATGCTGCTTTTGAAAACTGATCCATCCCCTCCGTCCCTCTCCACGCCCGTCAGTGGCTCACCCCCTCATTTAGACCCCCACCATTCCTATCTCTCTGCGCAGCCTCCTGTCCTGCAGGCCCCTCGGCCCCCAGCCCTGGCCCATTGATGCCACACCTGGCCAGCAGCTCCTTGGTCTGGTCGGTGAGGATGGCACTGTCTGCTTTCACCATACAGGCCAACGCGGAGATGACACCCGCCTTCAGAAGCCGCTTCACCCGCATGTCTACAAAATCCTTCTTGTCCTGGGGAGGTGAACGAGCAGCCATGAGGAAGGGGCCTGCGCACCAGGCCAATTTGCATCGGAACCAAAGACAGTGCATATCTGAATTCTCGAGGTGGGTTGAATGGCCCCCAGAAATTTCTACAGCCTAATCCCTGGAACCTATGAATGTGCGACCTTACAAAAACAAAAGTGACCTTGCAGATGTGGTTAAGGATCCTGAAATGGGAAGATAATCTTAGATTATCTGGGTGGGCCCAATGTAATCACAAGGAGCTTTATAAAAGGGAGGCAGGGGCCAGGCACCGTGGCTCATGCCTGTAATCCCAGCCCTTTGGGTGTCCAAGGCAGGGGGGGATTACTTGAGGCTGGGAGTTCAAGACCTGCCTGAGCAACACAGCTGGAGATCCCATCTCTACAAAAAGTTTAAAAATGAGCCATGTGTGGTGGTACAGGCCTGTAGTCCCAGCTACTCAGGAGGCTGAGGCAGGAGGTTCTCTTGAGCCCAGGAATTCAAGGCTGCAGTAAGCTAGGATCAGGTCACTGCACTTCAGCCTCTAAAGAAAGGGGTGGGGGAGGCAGAAGATCAGAGTTAGTACTAAGCGATGTGAAAATGGAATGGAAGCAAGAGGTTGGAATGATTCAAGGTCTCCAGCCAAGGAATGCAGGTGGCCTCTAGAAGCTGAAAATAAAAAAAAAATAATAAAAAAATTAATATGGCCGGCGCGGTGGCTCACGCCTGTAATCCTAGCTCTCTGGGAGGCCAGGGCGGGCGGATTGCTCAAGGTCAGGAGTTCAAAACCAGGCCTGAGCAAGAGCGAGACCCCGTCTCTACTATAAATAGAAAGCAAATTAATTGGCCAACTGGATAGGTAATATAAAAAATTAGCCGGGCATCGGTGGCGCATGCCTGTAGTCCCAGCATACTTGGAGGCTGAGGCAGAAGGGATCGCTGGAGCCCAGGAGTTGAAGGTTGCTGTGAGCTAGGCTGACGCCACGGCACTCACTCTAGGCCTGGGCAACAAAGTGAGACTCTGTCTCAAAAAAAATAAATAAATAAAAAAAATAATAGATTCTCCCCTAGAGCTTCCAGAAGGAACCAGCCCAGCTGACACCTTGACTTTAGCCCAGTGATTCTGATTGTTAGGACTTCTGACCTCTAGAACTGTGAGAACATAGTTGTGCTGTTTTGGGTCGCTGTGTTTGTGGCAGTGTGCAGTTTCTAAAATCTGCAAGGTTACTTTTGTTTTTGTAAGGTCACACATTCATAGGTTCCAGGGATTAGGCTGTAGGTCCTAAGCAATAGGAAACGAATACACTCCTGATCCCTTCTCAAGACAGCCACCAAGGTGTACACTGCATGTCTGCCGCTGTGTGTACGCGTCTTCTCCTTGTCCCTGCCCTCCCTGCTCCCAATGCAGAACTGAAGGAGTCGATACTGCAAGAAAATCCATCCCAGAGACCCTCTTATTCACAGACGAGTGACATAAACGAAAGATAATCTAAAACAGTGGATGACTGTTTTAGAAGATTGGTGGGGTGGGGTGGGGGTGGGGAGAGAATATGGGCTGGAGTGAAAGGGGATAGCAGATGAAGCTGCCATGACAATGGATTGGGTTTTGCTGGAAACCCAAAGTCAACCCAGGGTTCAGCGGTCACCACAGATAATCTTCAGAGTGGGAAGTGGTCAGGAAGAGGCTGACAATCGTGGGCAATCTTTACAAGCCACATCTGAGCTTCGCAGCTGCAGAACATGCTCTATGCTCTTGCCTGGATGAAATCCTCTGCAGCTTTTAAAAATGATTCAGAGAATGAGATGGCAACGTGGAAACCGCATAAAGCATGTTTCCAAAATTGGGCACAAAATGATACCTGCATTCTGATTATATACTATGAAAATGCTCAGAGGGCCGGGCGAGGTGGTGTGTGTGCCTGCAGTCCCAGCTAGTCGGGAGGCTGAGGCAGGAGGATTGCTTGAGCCCAGGAGTTTGAGGTTGCTGTGAGCTAGGCTGACACCACATCACTCTAGCCTGGTAGACAGAGCCAGACTCTGTCTCAAAACAACAACAGCAAAAAGATGCTCAGAAAAAACAAAGCCGGCCGGCGCGGTGGCTCACGCCTGTAATCCTAGCACTCTGGGAGGCCGAGGCGGGTGGATTGTTGGAGGTCAGGAGTTCGAAACCAGCCTGAGCAAGAGCGAGACCCCATCTCTACTATAAATAGAAAGAATTAATTGGCAACTAATACATATAGAAAAAATTAGCGGGCATGGTGGTGCATGCCTGTAGTCCCAGCTACTCGGGAGGCCGAGGCAGGAGGATTGCTTGAGCCCAGGAGTGTGAGGTTGCTGTGAGCTAGGCTGACGCTATGGCACTCACTCTAGCCTGGGCAACAAAGTGAGACTCTGTCTCAAAAAAAAAAAAAAAACAAAGCCTCCAGCAGGTAATATAACATACCCAAATATCGACAGCGGTCATGTGGAGATGATGTCATTGTGAGTGGTTATTCTCTTATCATCCACCTTTTCGTTTGTTTTGCAGCATGGTTATATTACTTTGATCATTTTTTAAAATCAAAATGATTTTACTGGCTGGGAATATTTTGCATATATATCCGTATGCAAATCATATGCAAATCGCACCTTGTGTGCAGGGAAGCTCCAGGGAGGGCCCCAGGCAGGTGTGACATCTGGGCTAATGCCGAGCCCTGTCCCTCCTCCTCTCATTACCCTACCTTGCACCCGTATTACAAATCCAGATATCCCAGAAAATCCACATCATTATAAATGTTGGAAATGTGAAATAAAATTGTCTTATATCCAGCACACATACAACGACATAAATTGCTGTTTCTTCATGGCTGTGTTTTCTCAGGCTACAAAATTAAAACGAAGAAAAAGGCACGATCGCCATCTGGTGGGGAAACTTGTTAACACCACCATGGTCCTCAGCTGCTCCGTGTTTTACCCGCGGTCATCCCAAACACACGCCTGGCACCACTCCCTTGGCCACCCCACCTCCTCTGGAGGCCTGGTGGCACGGACCTCCCCTGCACCCACCTTGGGGTGCTCCTCAGGCACGTGCTGCTTGGAGAACTTGGCGAGCTGGACGAGCTCCGGGATGACCTCCTTGACGTCGTAGCTGTTGGTGCAGTTCACCAGGGTGGTGGCCACTGAGTACAGGATGGTCTTGTCACTGCTCTGGAGGCACAGGGTCGGGGGAGGCAGGAAGGGAACGTTAGCACGAACCTCGTCCGGGACGGCTCCCTCACACGGCTGGCAGGCTGGACTGGGAGGAGCGGGGCGGGTGGGGCTTGTCCTGGAGAAGAGGGGTGGCACAGAGGAGCCGCACCGCTCTGCTCCGAAGTGGGTGGCAACGTCCCCTGCGCGCTCAGCAGCTGCCCTGATGCCCTGATGGCCTGAGCCTTGTCCCGAAGCTCCCTGCTTTGTGCCTCTTTCCAAAGCCCAGCCCCACACTTTCCCACCCCACCGGGATGGGGACCGGGTGGGAGCCGGACACCCTCCAGTCTGGCCCTGGTGGAAATCCCTCCCACACTTCCTCGCTTTACTGGTGGAAAAGAAAAAAGAGCCAGGAAGTCGGCCCAGCCCAGGAGCGAAGGGGTCTGGGGGGATTAGGGCAAGGAAGGGACCCAGACAGTCTGGACGCTGCCTCTTAGTCCCTCAAGACATCACTTCCAGAGGGCCCAGGAAATCACACTGTCCTCTTGTTCATCCTCCCACTGCTTGGAAAGCATGGAGAGTGGTGAGCCCATGTTACAGGCAGGTAGAATGAGGGCCAGAGAGAGAGAAATGGCCAATCCAGGTTCACACAGGGAGGGTAGAGCCAGAATGAGGATACAGGGATCCCATTCCTGTGGGCCTGGACCCAGCAGACCTTTGCTAAGGACCCATCTTAAAGGGCAGACCCCACACTTGCCTTGGCCAGCTCGAACATGGCCTGCAGGGCAGGGATGTCCTGGACAAAGTCGTCCTTCACATCCGCGTCCAGCGTGAGGTAGGCCAGGCCCTCCACTGCCCAGCGCCGGGTGCGGGTGTCTATGGTCTCGTTGCACAGCCACCTGGAGGGGCGGTGGGAGGGCTGCTGGGGAGGGGGCCGGGGTCGAGGGAGTGCAGTGATTTCAGGGTAGTGGGCAGCGGGTGAGGGCCCTTTCGCTGTCGGGCGTCCACTAGAGCACGCCCCAGAGACCCCTACGCGGGAGCCCAGGAGACAGAGGGCCTGGGAAATATCAATGCAAGCCCCTTACTTGCGACACTGTTTGGCCAGCTTCTCTGTGGAGCCTTCAGCAAACTGCCTGAGACCATAGTCCGTGCCGCCCGCAGAGCCCAGTTTACAGAGTCCCTGTGGAGAAGGGGAGACACAACAGCTTGGGGACGAGGCCGGGCTCGAACAGGTCCCTGTGGTCGGGACACTTTGCCCGTTTCTTTGCCTGGATGCACCTCTACGCAGACTGTAATTCTCAGCGCAGGTGGCTCCTCTTCTGAGATGCCTTCCCTGATGCTTCTAGGTTGGGAGAGATGGCCACCGAGCAGCAGGATCTTACCCTGCCCCTTTTCCGCACGCTTTGGATCTCACAGGTGTTTTGTGTCTGCCATTTTGAAAAACCAGCAAGAGAAAATGCTAACCATATCTGAAACTCAACGGTAAGCACAAAAACTGGTAGAGAAATCATATTTTGTGGATAACAGATTCAGATGTGCAAAATTTTACCCAGGAAAAAGTGGGCCATTTTTAGGGGGAAAAAAAAAAAAGTCTTCCATAAGCAAAAACTCACAATGGCAGAAGCTATAATTAGTTTTTTAGGAATTGATATGAACCAAAAAATTGCAATGACTCAAATCTTCACTGTAATTGTTTATAAGAAAAACAAAATATCAATAAAAATAATTTCAGTAAAGTGAAAATGGAAAAAAATAAAATGGGTTTAACTGTGCTATCTGGAAACTGAAGAAGGAAACAATCACACTTTTTGGAATTTCCTCGGGAAATACTTTCTGGACACAAGCTCATCAGTGTGAGTGATTGGCCACTGAACGCCAGTGTTAGTGATTGGTTAGTGAATGCCACTGGTTGTTCATAATGAGCACAAAGGCCTATGAGCATCCTCAGGGTTAAATGGCAGGGTCCGCCATTCTGTGTCCTCACAGCCCCTGCCTGTCACCCTGTTCTGCAGAGGCCTGTGCATGGGCCAGGGTGTGCCCCCAACCCAAGCATGGCTTCCTCAAGGACAGGGATCTTGGCTCATTCCTCCCGGTGTCCCTGGTGCCTGTCATGGTGTCTGGTACCCGGTGTGGGGGTGTCCCAAGCCCACTCACCACCAGCGTGCGGATCTTGATCTTCTCGTTTTTGGTGGTCTTGTAGATCTGTTTGAGCAGCGACACGCCATTGGTGATGATGAAGGTGGCCCGGCTGAGCTTGGTGGAGGCATGGATGAGGGCCTCCACGGCCACCAGCTGGTCCGCCTCACGCTCCGAGCCGCACAGCGCCACCATCATCTCCATCACGCCTTTCAGTCCCAGCAGCTGATTGCCCAGGTCAAAGGGGCCCTGCAGGATCCCTGACACCGTCTGGATGGCGTTCACGTTCTTGTCCATGTCCTGGGGGTCAAACTTGCCCCTGAAAGAGAGGGCAAGGGCGATCAAGAGAACTGGCCTTCGAGGATGGCAAGAGTGGGAGATTTGGAGACAGACAGATTTGGATTTGCATCCTTGGCTCCACAGCTCGTGTGCTGTGTGATGTTGGGCAATTCACCGAACCTCTCTGAGTCTCGGCTCCTGTAAACTGAGGATTGTACTCCTCCTCCTCAGAGTTTTAGTGAGGATAAATGACACAACAGGTGGGACTCAAGGATTTGCATGCAGGAGGTTTATTAGAGAGAGCTCTTGGGAAGAGAAGGAGGCAGGACTGGGCAGAGGGAGGCACTGGGCTGTGATGCAGTCACCACGGAGCCTCAGCCTGCGAAGAGTTATGGACCTGGGACACCCTTCAAACTTGTGCCAAGTTGGGGTGAGCCTTTGAATACCATATTTACCCCCAAATAAGACCTATCCATAAAATAAGCCCTAGCAGGATTTATAAGAATTTGAGCAATATAAGCCCTACCCCAAAAATAAGATCTAGTGATGGGCGTGGCTACGCAGCGTACCTGCACGACCCATGCATTTCGTGGCAGAGCGAGCGGTAAAGAAGACGAGCAGCCCTTCTCATCTGCCCATGAGAGCTCTACTGCTCGACATGAGAGATTGGGGCCAATGTTCTAAAGGAAATAGAGTCGAAAGAAATTCAGGATGGAATTCGGGGTTTGGAGAGTTATGATGATGTTCCAGAAGAAGACGACTTAACTATATTTGAATAAATGCAGATTGTTGTACCCTACTTAAAAAAAATAACACATCCCCTGAAAATAAGCCCTAGGGTGTCTTCTTGAGGAAAAATAAATATAAGACCCTGTCTTATTTTCGGGGAGACACGGTATCAGCTGCCCTGGGAAGGGTGAGATAGTGCTCCTCAGCTGAGGCGAGTCTCAAAGAGACATAACAACTACAAGCCAACTGGGGTGTCTGGCAGGACAATACAGCAACCATGACACAAAAGGGCCCAGCCCCTGGGCCCTGACGAAGCAGGCTGTACCACCTCCTTGCTGCAGACCGACCAGGAGGGGCCTCCATCAGAGAGCCCAAAAGAGGACTAGCTGGGTGGCAGTTATTGGAAATCAATTTGGGACCTCCTGAGGGACCCAAGATGTTAGCAGGACAAGCTAAAGTCAAGGTAGAGAAAGATAGAGTAACCATGAGAAGCTTTAAGGGAACCAAAGTCAGGGATCAGCAGAAGCTTCGGGGTAGAGCAGGAGTTGCCAAATCCGAGGAGCTGAGAATAGCGTTTGCATTTTAAAGGGTTAAAAAAATAATATGTGATAAAGACCTAGAGGTCCTGCAAAGACTAAAATATTTACTCTCTGGCTCCTCCTTTATAGAAAAAGTTTGTCAACACCTGGAATAGAACAAGGAAAAGTAGAGTGAAGGCGGGGTCTTCACCCACCCCAGACCTGCCTGATGCTCCCAAGCACACAACTTCCTGAGCCACACCCCAGACTACTGAGTCAAGAGCAAGTGTCTCAGAAATCTGAATAATTTACAAGTTTGAGAATCATTGCAATAAAAAGTTCAAAGGCCAAGTGGCAGTGGGGAAGAAGGGCTGGGACTCATAAAGGGAAGCAGAGACACAGAGAGACACCTGAACCACAGCGATGACTGTGCTGCCATGAGCAAACTAGGAACTCCAGCGCTGCTGAGGGCCCCGCCCCTGTCTCGCCTCTGCAAACCCACGTGTTCTTAAAGTCTCCGCCCAGCCAGGCCTCACTCCTTGACAAGCTGACATTTGTTCCTTTCAACCACAGAAACCACAGGTAGGTTTAAAATACAGCCAAAGGCCGGGCGTGGTGGCTCATGCCTGTAATCCTAGCACTCTGGGAGGCTGAGGCGGGAGGATCGCTCAAGGTCAGGAGTTCAAGACCAGCCTGAGCAAGAGTGAGACACCGTCTCTACTAAAAATATAAAGAAATTAGCTGTACAACTAAAAAATATATAGAAAAAATTATCCGGGCTTGGTGGCACATGCCTGTAGTCCCAGCAACAGGGGAGGCTGAGGCAGAAGGATCGCTTGAGCCCAGGAGTTTGAGGTTGCTGTGAGCTAGGCTGACGCCACGGCACTCACTCTAGCCTGGGCAACAAAGCGAGACTCTGTCTAAAAAAAAAAAAAAAAAAAACATAACTTGCATTCAGGCTGACGCCACAGCACTCTAGTCTGGGCATCAGAGCAAGACTCTGCATCAAAATAATAATAATAGGCCGGGCGCTGTGGCTCACGCCTGTAATCCTAGCTCTTGGGAGGCCGAGGCGGGCGGATTGCTCAAGGTCAGGAGTTCAAAACCAGCCTGAGCAAGAGCGAGACCCCGTCTCTACTATAAATAGAAAGAAATTAATTGGCCAACTGATATATATATAAAAAATTAGCTGGGCATAGTGGCGCATGCCTGTAGTCCCAGCTACTCGGGAGGCTGAGGCAGAAGGATCACTGGAGCCCAGGAGTTTGAGGTTGCTGTGAGCTAGGCTGACGCCACGGCACTCACTCTAGCCTGGACAACAAAGCGAGACTCTGTCTAAAAAAAAAAAAAAATAATAATAATAATAGTTAAAATAAAAGAAAATAAAATACATCCAAAAATATTTCGGCATTCCTCCCTTCGAAAGGTAGAACCTAATTCCCTCCCCTTACATGTAGGCCAGACTTAATTAATGACTTGCTCCTAATGAATAGAATGTGGCAGAAGAGGATGGTGTGTGACTTCAGGGGCTAGATTGCAGAAGACATGGCCCCTTCTGCCTTGCTCCCTGTTGGGTCACTGGCTTGGGGAAGCCGGCTGCCATATGGCGAGGACACTTCAACAGCCTGTGTGGAGAGGAACCGGGACCTCCCGCCAACAGCCGGCAGCAAAACGCCAGCCATTGAGTGCGCCATCTTGCAAACAGATCTCCCAGCCCCAGTCAAGCCTTCGGGTGGCCGCAGCCCCAACCAACATGCCACTGCAACTTCACAAGACACTCTAAGCCAGAACCACTCGGCCACGCCGCGCCCAAATTCTTGTCCTACTATGAGATAATAAACGATGATGACTGTCATTTTAAGCTGCTGAATTTTGGGATAACTTGTTACACAGCCATAGATAACTGCTACAGAGCCCGGCCCTGCGAGGCCCCCAGGAAACTCACGTGATGTATTCCTCGCAGATCTTGCGGAAGTGATCGCGCTCAGGGTCGCAGCGCAGGTCGTCGTAGAGCTTGTTGATGAGGATGGAAGCCAGCATGCGGGTGTTGTCGCTCAGGGGCAGGCAGGACGGCAGATCTGGAACCTGCCCCACCACCTTCAGGATCTTCCTGAGGCCTGCAGTGTAGACAGCAGCAAGGGTAAGACTCCAGCCCGGCTCTGTCCTCACAAACGCACCCCTTGCTCGGCAACGTCTTATCCCCCGCTTCTCCCCACTAGAACGTTTTACCTGTGCTTTAACACAAAGTATACTTGATGCCATTTGCTTCTAGAAAGCCTTCTAGAAAGCCGGTGAAGTATTTTACCAACCATGAGACTTGTGGACTGTTATTACCCCGTGGTGGGTAGGTTCCTACTTGTTTTTCTGCACTCGCCCCCATTTGTTGGGTAACTCCACCCGGGTGTTTTGGGGTGTGTTTGGGAACTTTCTGGGTGTGTTCAGGCCCTGACCTGCACCTTCTGCCTTTTCCCAGCTTTTTGGTTGGGACTGAAGACTCTTTCCAGACAAGGGTCTCATCTCCGTCACTTTCTGCTCAGTGCCAAGTACCCAAGTGCCCACTTAAAAGGCTTAGGTGAGCCCCGAACCCTCCCACCTCCTCACCGTTATCCACCACGTAGATGGTGCGTGAGTTGTCGTGGATGGCCAGGTCCTTCCTGGGGACGTTCTTATTGAGCAGGTTCAGCGCCTGATCCCTGCCCTGGCCAGACACCTTCTTACTGACCAGCATGTCCAGCAGGTGGCTGGTGATCTGCTTCAGGTCCTTCTTGGTGTCTGAGGAGCAAGAGGACAGGAACAAACAGACGTGCAGGGAGTCTCAGATAGAAGGGCCAGGGGTAGCAGAGGCTTTGAGCCTCTGGAAACACTGAATCCACTGCTTCCTGGACATGTGAATGTCCCAGGAGAGTATAGTATTACCCATGTCACTCCCTAAAGGGCAGGAAATTCCTAGACCCCACCCCCCAGGGGTCCTCCAGCCACCCTGAACACTGGCTTCCGTGACAACCCATTCCATTCTTGGACAGCTCTGGTTCTTAGAAAGCTCCTCACTCCCAGCAATGACTGGCAGAGCTCCAGGGACACTTTATGCAGTTTTTAATAAACTGATTTAATAAAATGTTTTCCAGAAAGGACATTTATACTCCTTGTACATGTTTCACTCCCCACAGATTCAGGCATGCTGAGAGCCTGCATTCAGGCCTCTGCCTACGACGCTAGGACTTTGCCGCCCACTGGTGGCTCTAACAAGGCAGATGCCTTTTCCTGATTTTGCCCTGTCTGACCTCCCTGAGACTTGGAGACTTGTGTTCTCATTCTAGGATGGGGCCCAAAGGCAGGCAGGCAACCAGGCAGAAAAGTAAAGCTGTCCAAACCATGTCAGATAGTACCTGATGAAGCAATGGGGCTCTGCAGCCTGGAGAAGGGAAGACATAAGTGGATGTGACAGCTTGTTTTCAGATAAAGGTATGTCATGGGGTGTGAGATAACAGACTTATTCTGTGAGGTTCCAGAGGGGACGACTGGGACCGGAGGTGGGTAGGAGCTACAAGGAGATAGATCTGAAGTCGATACGTGGAAGGATTTTGTAACAGAGATGTCCAACCCGAGGAGCACCCAAGGAAGCACCCTGTCAGTATTCACACTCTTGGGTAACCTCCTCCCACACTGGCCCTGGCACTTCCCAGGTGACTTGTGACACAGCGAGAGGCTTGCTAGCACTTGCACATTGGCACCTGTCCATTTAGAATCCAGCCACCATGCTATAAAGAAAGCCAAGCTGGCCACTGGAAAGGCCACCAGAGAAAAACCAAGGTCTCCTGGCCAACATCTCCAGTTAACCACCAGCCATACAAGTGGAGCCATCTAGCACCTTCCAAACATTCTAGCTCAGAAAAAGAAAGGGACTAGCTATCCATTACCATAGTAAGTCAGAGCCACATTTAGAATCCAGGGCTCCAAAAGGTTAGCATTATTAATCTGTAAAGAACCTTACAAACAAATAAGAAAAACATTGATATCCCAACAGAAAAAATAGATAACAACATGAACAAACCATCTAAAGACAAAACCATCCAAATGGCTAACAAAGATAAAGAAAAATGGTCAATCTTATTAGTAATTTGTTTTGATTCAAACAAGATATTTTAATTTGTTTGTTTGTTTGTTTTGAGACAGAGTCTCACTTTGTTGCCCAGGCTAGAGTGAGTGCCGTGGCTAGCCTAGCTCACAGCAACTCAAACTCCTGGGCTCAAGCAATCCTCCTGCCTCAGCCTCCCGAGTAGCTGGGACTACAGGCATGCACCACCATGCCCAGCTGATTTTCTATATATGTTAGTTGGCCAATTAATTTCTTTCTGTTTATAGTAGAGACAGGGTCTTGCTCTTGCTCAGGCTGGTTTCGAATTCCTGACCTCGAGCAATCCACCTGCCTCGGCTTCCCAGAGTGCTAGGATTACAGGCGTGAACCACCACGCCTGGCCCAAACAAGATAAGTTTTAAATACTGAATAGAAAAATATTGTTAACTGGGCTAGAGTGCTGTGGCATTAACCTAGCTCACAGCAACCTCAAACTCCTGGGCTCAGGCAATCCTCCTGCCTTGGCCTCCCAAGTAGCTGGGACTGCAGCATGAGCCACAATGCCTGGCTAATGTTTTCTATTTTTAGTTGCCCAGATAATTTTTATTTTTATTTTTAGTAGAGATGGGTCTCGCTCTTGCTCAGGCTGGTCTCGAACTCCTGAGCTCAAGCAATCCTCCTGCCTCGCCTCTCAAAGTGCTAGGATTACAGGCATGAGCCACCGTGCCCAGCCAAAAATACTTTTGAGAATGACATTAATAGTATTCAAATCTGAGAATGTGTTGAAATGGGAACTCTCAACATCACTTGGTGAGAGTACAAATTGATGCACCCTCTCAGAAAGGAATTGGATGGCAAGATGAAGAAAGAACTTTAGTTATGTTCATGACCTTAGACCTAGTACTGCCATTTCTAGGAATTTGTCCCAAGGAAATAATTATGAATGTAAACATGAATTTATATAAAGAATGGCTACTGCCAGGCCCGTGGCTCATGCCTATAATCCTAGCACTCTGGGAGGCCAAGGCGGGCAGATTGCTCGAGATCAGGATTTCGAAACCAGCCTGAGCAAGAGTGAGACCCCGTCTCTACTATAAATAAAAAAAGAGGCCGGGCGCGGTGGCTCACGCCTGTAGTCCAAGCTCTCTGGGAGGCGAGGCGGGGGATTGCTCGAGTCAGGAGTTCGAAAACAGTCCTGAGCAACAGCGAGACCGTCTCTACTTAAAATAGAAAGAATTAATTGGCAAATATAATATAGAAAAAATTAGGGCATGTGGCACATGCCTGTAGTCCCAGCACTCCGGGAGGCTGAGGCAAGGAGATCTGCCTTGGCCTAGGAGTTGAAGGTTGCTGGTGAGCTAGACTGACACCAGGCACTCCACTCTAGCTCTGGGAAACAAAGCGAGACTCTGCTCAAAAAAAAAAAAACAAAAAAAAAGAAATAATTGCAACCCTATTATATATAAAAATTAGCACAGGTGGCATGCTGTAGTCCCACTACCGGGAGACTGAGGGCAGAGGATTGCTTGAGCCCAGGAGTGGAGGTTGCTCTGTGAGCCTAGGCTGCGCCACGGCACTCACTCCTAGCCTGGGCGACAAGAGCCAAGACTCTGGTCTCAAAAAAAAAAAAAAAAAAAAAATGGCTACTGAGTGTTTGTATAAGCATGCAATATTAAACACATCTAACATAATAAAGGATGGTTGATGATTTTAATGTATCCACACAAGGAATTATTATGAAATTATTTTAAAATAGTTTCTGCTGATGAACCTGTCTCTGTGAACCTCCCAGCCCAGAGCAGAACTTCAAACTGGATGCCGTAAGACTTTGGAGTTACAGGAAGAAGCGTGAGTTATATGTGCATATAGTAGAAACAAATTATAATTATTAATCTTAAAATCAAAGGAATTTTTTTCTACATATATATTAGTTGGCCAATTAATTTCTTCTATTATAGTGGAGACAGGGTCTCGCTCTTGGTCAGGCTGTTTTGAACCTGACCTTGAGCAATCCGCCGCCTTGGCTCCCAGAGTGCTAGGATTACAGGTGTGAGCCCCTGCGCCTGGCCTGGAATTTTTAAAGAATATTAAATGGTATGCAATACTAAAATAATGCTCAGTGAAGGAAAAAAACATAAAAACTATCCATAGAAGAATTCCAGTTTTGTTAAATAGATATTTACATAGATGGAAAAAAGCAAGGACATACACAGTAGTGATAATAGTGGTTATCTGAATGGGTGATTATAGGGATTTTTTTCATCTTTACATAGTTCCATATATTTTTACATTTCTCCAGTAAGCCTCTGTTACCTTTTTAAAATTGTAGTAAAATGTACATAACATAAAATTTACCATTTTAATAATTTTTGGAGTCATTAACTATATTCATATTGTTGTGCAACCAACACCACAATCCAATCACAGAACTTTTTTCATCATGCAAAACTGAAACTCCATCCCCATTAAACAATAATTTCCCATTCCTCCTCCTCTAGCTCCTGACAAACACTTTTCTACTTTCTGCCTCCATGCATTTGACTGCTCTAAGTACCTCACATGAGAGGACTCGTACCGTATCTATCCTTTCCGACTGCCTTATTTTGCTAGCACAATGTCCTCAATGTTCACCTATGTTGTAGCATGTGTCAGAAGTCCCTTCCTTTTTAAGACTGAATAATGTCCCATCATACGTATACACCACGTTTGGCTCGTATAGTTACCTGCCCATGGACACTTGGGTTGTTTCCCTCTTTGGGCTATTGTGACTACTGCTGCTCTGCCTGTTACTTTTATAACCAGAAAATACAGATGGCAATAAAACCAAGCCACCGCCACACACAGGGAACGCCCAGTCTGCGCCGGGTGACTGACTCTCTCCTTCCCGTATCCCCTCGAACTAAAACTGAAGGTCATCTCCTACCTAGAACCAGGGCTTCCTCCTTCCCTCGATGCTCCCGCTTGTCCTCCCCGGACAGGGAGTCGATCACGGCCTGGAGCAGGTTGCAGACGGCCAGAGACAGCTCCTCGTTCTCCCCGGACATGAGGCTGCAGATTCGGTCTATCCGCACCGCGTGCAGAATCGCCGTGGCCTAGACACCCAGTGAGAATGACGGTCAGCTGCCCTGCCCGTCCCTTCCAGCTGCCATGCAAGTTAGGGGGTGCAGGATAACTGCCCCCACCCCACCCCATGCAGTATGGAAATGAGCCCAGGCAGCTGATGCCTCCTGGGGCCCCCCAGTCCTGGAAAGCTCTTGACACAAGCCATGTCCCTTTCTAGAGGTCAGTGCTGTGCCGTCCAATAAGGTGGCCACTCGCCACATGGGACCGTTGGGCATTTGCAATGTGGCAAGGCCACATCAGGATGTGCTGTAAGTATAAAACACATACTGGGTTTCAAAGACTTAGCGTGAAAAAATGTGAACTGTCATAGCTTTGCATTCAGCTCTTCCCCACAAACCACTTTCAATAACTTTATCTTTGTTTAGTCAAACTCGTTTCCAGCTCAAGGGAAAAAAGCACTGGAGCACTCTTTAGACTTTGTATGAGGTTCTACTGATGCCAGCCACAGCCCTGACCATGCATGTCACCCTCCTGATCCTTGGACCAGCAGCCATCAGCGGCACCTGCCGCACGGCCTGCCCCTCACCCTGGCTCGGTGGCCACTGCACATGCCCGACAGGGTCCGCACTGCAGCCAGCATCAGCTCAAGCCTGTTGGTGTCCAGAAGCTGCAGCAGCAGGGCCACGCCATTGCCCTGGAAGATCTTCTCAGCCCCTGACTCCTCACGGCCTAGGACAATGAGGTTGTTGGCAGCCTAAGGAAGGAAGAGGCAATGTGGGTTTACAAGAGAGGGGCGGCCAAATACAAGAGCCAGTGCTACAGACATGCACTACCATGCCTGGCTAATTTTTTTTTCTATATATTTTTGGTTGTCCAATTAATTTCTTTCTATATTTAGTAGAGATGGGATCTCGCTCTTGCTCAGGCTGGTTTGGAACTCCTGAACTTGAGGGATCCTCCTGCCTCAGCCTCCCAGAGTGTAGGTATTGTTCTTTATCTTGTTTACAGATGAAGAAACTAAGGTTTAGAGAAGTTATATAATCTGCCCAAGATAACATCTTAACTCATGAAACTGAGACTCAAAACCAGGCCTGACTCCAGAGTCTCTGCTCTCAGCCATTATGCAAGTCAGATACCTTCTTTCTGCCTGTATGGCTGTTCCCACAGCTTCCTCCAAAGGTGCCTCAGGCTGGCCCCGGGGATGAGCCACAGCTGCTGTCCTGGTGATTTCCAACCCCAGATTTTATTTTTACTGTGGATGGAGTGAGGGTCACAGTCTTGGGCTTGAGGGCAGAAATCGGGCTGCCTGTGCTGTTCCATCTCTGGCCACAAGAGGGCAAACTCTCAGCAGGCATCTCTTGCACTAGGCCTCACTTGCCCCATGGGTAGTAACATGGGAAGAATAATCCTACTCCTGGTGCCTGCCAAAATTACTCTTTTTTGAGATCGTATGTGGAAGAAATCTGCATAAAGGATTAGAACTTATTAGACTAGGATTAGAACTTATTAGATTAGAATTTATTAGATCTAGCCCCCAACCAAAGTTCCAGACTTAATTCCCAGCAAACTTGGAAAACTTCCAAAGGATCCTTACCTCCCTGTCTTTGTTCATGCCTTTCCACATATCTGAAAGGCCTTCTCTTCTTCATCTACCATAATCCTACTTATCCAAAAGGCCTAGTTAATAGGCTTCCTCCTAGAAGGTGTTTGTGGACAGCTGTCCTTGAAGTGATCCATTCCTCCTACTTAATCTTTGGCTGTAAGCACTTAAGCATCACTCTTAGCCTTACCATATAACTGCTGATGTATAGGACATCTCCTCTATGGAGGACATGTGTTGGTTTTTGCTTGCCTAATATCTTCTCCCTCTTTTAGTAACAGCAACTTGATTTTCCTCTGGTGAACAACCTTCCCTCATTTTTAATCCATATGATTTGGATGGGGTCAACCCTACTTCTAAATCCAGAGGTAGGCATGTGACATAGGCCTATTCAGAGTTACTATAATGGCTTCAATGAAGGGTAGGTGACTCCATTAAAAGCATTGAGAACTACTCCTAGGACTTTTGCTAGGGCCATTGGCATAAAAAATCTCTATTTTTGCTACAATTGGATGTGAACATGTAGCTGTGAGGGGCTTTCACATGGAAAAAAAAGATTCCTGAGTATGAAGCCACCCAAGAGCAGGTTACAGAAAGATACCTAATCTGAAGGATAGCATTGTTGGAAACCCTTGGATCTTAGATTCAGCTAATCCTGAAACTATTAATAGAAGTAACCTGCCTAGGACAAATAAATTCTGTCCCCTGCCCACATTCTTTTTTTTCCTTTTAAGCTAGTTTGTGTTGGGTTTCTATAATGTAGAATTGAAAATTAGGAATACATCCTCAATTTGTTTATGAACTTTAAGGGGCCAAAGGTCTGATCTTTTTAACTTCACATTTCTTAGCATGGTACCTGGGAAGACAGAGGGTCCTTGAGGTGTGATGATTGATTCATTCAATCTCACTTCCCCCGAGTACCTACAGTGTGCTGAGGTAAGCACTGGGACCACAAGGAATAATTAAGCATAGTCCTTGCCCTCGAGGAGTTCTGAATTTTGTACAAGGAGGTATGAAAATGAACACTTTATAATATAACTTGGGTTGGGCTATAAGAGAAATCTGAGCATATTTTTATGGGATTCCAGAAGGTTGGAGGTCTGGGGAGATGGGATGTGGGAAGGCTCCTCAGAGGAGGTGACATCTGAGTTGAGTTCTTAAAGAACATATAGAGGATCCTAGGCAGAGAAGTGGGCATGGGGAAGAGGTGTCCTAGGGATAAGTATTCCAGATGCAGAGAACAAGATTATATATGAATAATTATAAAATCAATAATATCACCATCTCCTGCTCTTCCTGTGGCCTCTTCACAAGCTCCTTCCTCTTTCTTTTCCTCTGCCTCATCTATCCTTGGAACCACCATAGTGGTTAGGAGCACAGGCTCTGAGCTCTGAAAGATTTTGGTTCTGCCAGGCGGTGCCTCATGCCTATAAACCCAGTAACTCGGGAGGCTAAGTAAGGCAGGAGGATCACTTGAGCCCAGGAGTTTAAGACCAGCCTGAGCCGGCGTTGGTGAGGACCCCATCTCTACGAAAAATAGGAAAAGCTTAGGCCGGGCATGGTGGGTGCACACCTCGTAGCGCTCTCGCGCCGCTAAGGTCACTAGAGAGCCCTGGGGGAGGTTGGAGGACTGCAATGAGCTCGTGATGACACACTGCATCCTCGCTATTCTAGCCGGAAGCAACAGGAGCAAAAGGCTTTTGGTCTCAAAACAAACAAAAAAGATTTGGGTTCTCACCTTCCACGGTACACACACGACCTTGGGAGCAAAATCACTTTACAGGTTTTACAAGTAAGGACAACAGGTATGTTGGGGGCCTTATTAAGGATTTTCAGGAACATTAAACAAAAATCTGACCAAATTCAAGAATGTGTCAGGCACAACGGCTAATTCTCAAAAAAAAAGTAGATGTGTAATACTTTGCATAATTTATGGGATTTACTTGACACAAAACTAACAAAAATTTCCCAGGTATTGGGGGTCCCTTTATAAATGTAAAACACTCACAATGGCCTTTCAATTTTGTGGTTCCGTCTGAAAGAATGACTAGAAGGGAATATGGGGAAAAAAAGGCTACATTTGATTAAGAGGATGATCATATTGGTAAACATTTTAATACGTGTTCAGGAATTTTCATAATTTTTTAAAGTGTGTTTTTATTTTAATGTGTCCTTGTTTCTCACGGGCCTTGAAAATTATCGGTGAGGTAGGATGATAGCCCTATGTTTTGGGCGCTGCCAAGAATTTAAACAAGGGGCACCCAAAAACTCAATTAACAGAGCATAATAAGGATTTAATACAATATTTTAAAAAATCAAAATCAATGCAAAACAAAAAAAAATCCATAATGAACAAAATATCAAAAATTGTGTGTAAGGAATATACCAGAGGTCCTCGCTGGGATTGGTGGTCCCAGCTTCTAGTCTTTAAGATGGGTGTTTGTATCGCCTTGTGCGAATTTCCTTCAAATTCTTCAAGGGCACGGCCAAAAAAGAACAAAGAAAAAAAAAAAAAAAAAGAAAAAAAAAAAAAGAAAAAAAGAAAAAAAAAAAAAGGACAAAAAACCCCGCGCCTCCCTCCTCGCCAGGATGGGGCTACTGTCGAAACTGGCAGGTGCCGAGCGCGCCCTCTGCTGGCTGGCTGGCGCTAACCAGCTCTCAGCTCACCTTTTCCCGCTTATCGGCGTCACTGTTTTCGTCCAGGAGGATCTCAAACATCTTTTGTACCCTGGAGTCTGTGGAGAACTGCACACGGAGCTGAGGGGAGAGGAGGGGGAGGGGAAGGAGGCAGCGGTGGTCCACATCACTTCAGTCTGTTCCACATACAGTTCATCTCAGTAACTATTACAGTATCTACTCTGGGACCGGGCACGTTCATTCATTCATTCAACAAACATCTACTGAGCAACTACGAGGTGCCAGGCACTGTGCTAGATGCTGGGGAGAGAACGGTGAGCAAAATCAAGTCCTTGCCCCACAAAGCTCGCGGTCTAGTTACATTCGTTATCGGAGTCTAGCAACCCATTAGCTATTAGACAGTTAAACAGGAGCTAAAATAGAACTAGGTCTCCATGCTCAGAAACCTGAAGACGTTTTCCAGCAACTGAAACTGCTATGTTTGCATGTCTAGCCCCTCACGCAGCCCACCCGAACCCACAGCTCTGGGTCTTTCATAAAATGACCCAAACCATCACCCCTCATCTCACCAGCCCCTAATGGACCTCCTACTACTTTGTTCTGCTGGTCACACTCCTGCCGTTTCCTTTGGGGTGTGGAGATGTCTATCCTCCCCCACCCCTTCTCCCATCTCTGCTTAGTTGGTCCTTGAGTCTGCACCCTGGGCAGCACGTCCCGGTCCCACCACAGGGCTGCTCTGGACGCATGGGAGTTGCTGCATCTTGGAGCAAGGAGTTGAATGATCAATTACCCCCCTGCTCTTACAGAGAGAAAATGACACCCCAAAAGGTCCCTCTGAAATTAGCAGCTGAGCCAGGATTAGGGTGCAGGAGTTCTCATCCCTGGTCCAGGTTCTCCCCACCCCATTCCCTTTTCCTAGAACAGATTTCACATTCCTACCTGATCCTCACTCCCCTCTATTCCCTATCAATATCCCCCAATTCCCAGGTAGCTCATGGTACCCAGCAAGAGAAGATCATGTGGCAAACACACTAAGTTATTATCATTTTTTTTTTCAAAAGCCTCCATCTGGAATTTAAAAGCCCTGTGCTCTAGCCTGGACTATGCAGTGGGCACTCACATACAGGTGCACCTGCTCAGCTGTGCCGTGCAGCCGGCCGTGCCACTTACCGGCTGCATCTCAGAGCATGGAGGAAGGGCTGGCCCTGGTGTCCCACCTCCCTAACCCATCCCTACTCCTATGGGGAGAGGCCTGGGCTGCCAAGTTGGTGGGAAGGGGGCTGGCTCACCTTCTCCTGGATGCTGGTGTTGAGCCTCCTCAGCGTCTCCTGGAAGTTCTGGTTCCGGGGCTCCAGGGTGGCACAGCGCTGCACGTCCTTGAAGGCCTGGTCCAGCTTCCCCAGGTGCTCCAGGGCCTGGCATCGCCGATACAGAGCCTTGATGTCGGAGGAGTTGATGTCGATGGCTATTGAGGGGAGACAGGCAGGGCCTCAGGGGACCGGGCTGCAAACCACTGTCCCCACTGCCACAGCTCCAAACATCAGGCTCTTGCTGGGCTTCTGTGTCCTCTTTGGAGATTATCCACCCACGTGGACCGTCTGGCCATGCCTCTCCTTTGTTAGAGAGACAGTACGACCCGTAGAGTCTCAAGGGTGGAAGAGAGCTTAAGGGTCATCTGATCCAATTCCTGATGCTCCAGTCTCTGCTACAGGATCCCTGCCAAGGGCTTATCAAGTTGGTGCTTGCATACCTCCAGGAATGGGGAGCTCCCTCCTTCTCGAGACAGCCTGGCAGCTCCATCAGAAAACCCTTCCCTCTTCCTACCTGAAATAAACTCCCTGTGACCATGCCCACTTATCTTAAGTCCAGCCTTGGAACCTGGAGATGAAATCCGATCCTTCTTGCTTGTGACAACTTTTTAGGTATTTGGAGGCGGCTCTCGGTCCCACCTGGGAGTTGCTTTCTCTGGGCTAAATATGGCAGCGCCCTCACCTGCTCGTCACCCGATGTGTTTCCAGTCCCTTCTCCAGCTGGGTTCCCTCCCTTCTCAACTCACTCAAGACTATCACTGTTTCTTCCCCCTAAATGACAACCAGACCAACCACCTGGAGGAGAATGTGAGAGGGCAGGTGTGGGAGCGGGAGGGGCTCACCTCTGGAGGCATCGGAAGCTGCCTGGACGTAGCTCTCCTGAGATATGGGGAAGGAGAAGACTCGGTTAATGCGAGCCCAGTGCACAGACAGCCAGAGAGTGTCCCCAGAGGGAGGGGACAGGGTTTGCTGGGGGAGCTGCCAGCTGTCAGAGGCCCAGGGTGTGCCCCTCGCTGGCGTGGAAAAGGGGACAGGCTTTGGCGACAGGAAAACCCAGCTTTGAATCCCCGCTCTGCTATGACCTGAGAGATCTTGGCAAGTTACTTCAGCCCTCTGAGCCTTGAGTTTCTTATCTGCAATATGGGATGACAACAATGGCGACCTGCCAGGGCTGTTACAAGATGCGGTGAAATAGCAAGTGAAGCCGCAAGGTGGCTCATGCCTATGATCCTAGCACTCTGGGAGGCTGAGGAGGGGGGATCATTGGAGGTCAGGAGTTCAAGATCAGCCTGAGCAAAAGCAAGACCCTGTCTGTACAGGACAGTAAATAGGAAAATTAGCCTGGAACTACTAAAAATAGAAAACATCGCCTGTAGTCCCAGCTACTGGGGAGGCTGAGGTAGGATCGCTTGAGCCCAGGAGTTGGAGGTTGCAGTGAGCTAGGCTGATGCCACGGCACTCACTCTAGCCTGGGCAACAGAGTGAGACTCTGTCAAAGAAAATAATGAAGGAAGGAAGGGAGGGATGGAGGGAAAAAGAAATAAAATGTGAAAAGCTCCTGGCATTAGGCTGATTCTGGTCTGGGCGAGTTTCTGTCTCTGCTGAGCAGCGGGTCAGGCGGTGGGAGGCACCCTTCTCCAGCCTGAGGGGCCCAGAGGAGCAGGCTGGGACGGTGGCCAGTTCCTATCAGGAGGAGGGGGCCACCTCCACCCCTTTGCCCCCAGCCCTGTCCCGCGCCAGACCGTTTTCAGGCCGCAGGCCGCCCGGTTCCGATAGAGCGTGGCCAGTAGGGCCTTATCCTTGGTCAGCTTCAGGGCCTGGCTGTAGCTCTTCATGGCGGCCTTGTAGTCCTGGCGCTGGAAATGCTGGTTCCCTTCCTCCTTCAGCTGGACGGCTTCCGCCTCTGCCATCTGCGGGGACGGGAGCAGCTCCGTCTGGCCAGCCCCTCACTCCAGACCCGGGCTGGGCCCCTGGTCTGACGTCCAGAGCTCCAGGCTCCCTTTCCAGCAGGGCGGAAGGTGGGGATTCTGCCTAGAAAGGACCCACCCACGGCACCCTCAAATCCATCACCCCAGAAGGACAGTGCAGCATTTGCTCAGAGCTTGGCCCCAGTTAAAACAGGCTTCGCTCCCTGTCCCTCCCAGCAGGTGAAGCCACCATGCCAAAGGTTTGGACTTCTTTGGGGGCCTTAAAAGTCTGCCTTATCCCTCCCGAGTCTGGGGAACTGCCTTATCCCTCCCCAGTTGCTGCCCGACTCACTTTCTCAGCAAGGACAACGGTTTCAATCTGGCCCCGGTGATACTGCTCCCCTGAGCTCTCTCTCCTGGGTCAGCCTCCAGCCAGCCAGTCTGCCCCAGTCTGCCCCACCCAGCCCGCACGCAAGACATTTTATCACCCCTGCCCGTGGCTCCAGACCATATTTGGCCACAGGGGCAGGTGCCCCTGGAGTCTGTCATTGATACTCAGGGCCCTCCCTCTCCCCAGACTGGACAGTTGCGGCCACGTGGAGGTGCTGACTAGCCTCTGCCCGAGCACCCGGCTCAGGTGTCCTGGGGGCTCTGGCCTTCATACCCCAAAGAGTGAGAGAAAGATCCAGAAGGGACGGGAACACCCCAGCATGCACCCCTCCCTAGGCACAGAGATAATGCCCCTTCCCTCCTTCCATCTTAGATAAACAACCTCCCTTCCCTCCCCCCAGTCACTGCTATTTTGGGAGCAGAGTGACAGCTGAGGGACTGACAGTCTTGGGCACACAGAGCAGCTGCCCAGGTCCCCAACCAACTGGAGACTTCCAGAAATGCCTTTCTAGATGGGGGGAGGAGGGGAGAGGCAAGGAAAGCCCCTTCTCTTCTTCTACTTGTTCACAACACCTGCATCCCTCAGCACTCACTTGTTGAAAATGTCCCTTGACCTTTTCAGAAAGATCGCAGGACTGGCTAGACTCGGGTTTGGGTGTGAGTGGGTTGGTGCTGGTTCCGACTGTTTTGTCCCCCTGCCCAATTCGAGTGATTTAATCCGTCTGGAGCAGTGGGGCGGCTGTCTGCTAAGTGACTCTCTTGAGGGTAACGGGGGCTTGCGGGCCGATTGGAGGAGACTGTACTCACCCATCCAACTGGACCGCCTCGCTGGAACCAAACTGAGCCCCTCCTCACAACGGGCCCGCCTCGGGATGGAGAATCTGTACTCACCCTCACAGGGTTCTTTCCTGGGAGACCTCTGTACTCCCCACCCTCACAGACCGGGCTCTTTCCTGGGCAGAAATCTGCTTCCAACGTCATCTGCACCGATGGGGCTCCTGAAGCAATTTAGAGATTGTCCCCACCCTTGGACCCAGGAGTTCTCTCCCTGTCTTACTCAATGTCTCCAAACCCCTCGGCTACAACTCCCCCCCGGAAGGAAGGACAGCATCCCACTGCCACTTGTCCTCCAGCCCTACACAGACCTTCCCCCCTCCCCCAAGCAGAGCCTGGCGAGTCGGTGCCTGATGGTGTGTTTCCCGAATGACCCCATGAGTGCCCGAATGGGCGTCTTCAGTCTGGCTGGTGATT